TTATTTCTCACCGATCAGTATCCTAGACTAACAACGACCACGCGGTTCATCGTCTACGGAGTATATCCCATCTCCGCGTCGATGCTCGTATATGCGGGTGGGTACATAGCCGGGCAAGCTCTCGACTGCCGTTATGCGCACCTTAACGGTCATCGTTCCCAAACGCTGTATTGGTCGACCATTGGAATTGTTTTTTGTGGTCGGCCCACTTTTGTCAAGCCCTGGCGGATGTCTTACGCCCCCATGCTCCTCTCCCATTTAACAGGTTTGGTACTTCAAAAGCCACCATGCACAAATGGTAGGCATCCCTTCACTCGAAAAGCCGTTGTTCAACTGTCTCGAACTTTGACAACGTTCCACGCACCACACAACCTAACGAATCATCTTCATCATGCCTGGTGGCATAAACCCCCCCATCGAGGTCAAACTGAGTTGGCCAACACCAAACTATGTCAACCCTACACTTCGACCAAACGCCGTCCTGTGGATTGCGTGTGTACTTGGACCTATTACCGTCGTTATGACTCTTGTACGGTTATGGGTCAGAATCTTTCATCAACGATGTCCCGGCTGGGACGACTGGTTGATGTTAGCTGCCCTTGTGAGTTATCAGTGATCACTCATCATGGCTACGCTAACAATCCTAGCCTCCAGTTATCGCCTTGACAGTCATATATCCCCTAGGTAGGATCTCAAACCGGTCCATTGCTATCTAGCTAATGCTTCTCAGCAACCAACCAAGCATTCGACCGACATATTTGGGACCTAAACTACCTCTTCGAACCGGAAATCATCGTTAACGCACGGAAATACGTACTCGCAACCGAATGTGTCTTCTGTGTTGCAACTGGCCTCGTCAAAGTCTCCATTCTTCTCTTCTACCGACGCCTCTCGGCCCGCGCCGTGTCGAAGACATTCGTATGGGTGACTTGGGCCACTATCGGCTTCATCATCGCCTACACCATTGCCTTGACCTTGGCACCTATCTTGGGCTGCCAACCCATCTCAGCATTCTGGGATCAAGTAAACATCATCAAAAAGTTACAAGGTTACGAGTTCCACTGCTTCGACGAAGGTGCCGACGTCTTCGCTGCCAGCATCATATCCTGCGCCCAAGACGCCCTGACTGCCGTTCTTCCTACGTTCCTTTACTGGAATCTTCAGATACCGATCCGACAAAAGCTGGCGTTGTTCGGTATCTTTGCCATGGGTTACGGTGTCGTCGCACTGGGAGCTGTGCGAGCCTACTACAGCTGGTACACCTTCTATGGCACTTACGACGTGACATGGCACACATGGAATCTGTTTCTTACTTGCATGCTCGAGCTGTACATCGGATGCTTATGCGCCAATGCGCCCGCCATGAAGGTCTTCTTCAAACATTTCTTCCAGGAAAAGCTCAGTCAGCGATCCAAGACAAGAACACCAGCTGGTACCGATGATCGCCAGGATAGTGCGCACACCAAGTCGAAGAACTCGTGGAGGAAGTTCGGTGCGAGCATTACAGGCGGAAGCTGGGCCAACAGCACCAAGGGATATTACGATTCTCACCTTGGTACCACTGTCGACCCGCATGGAGGTGTGCATGTGCACAAAGAGGTGCAAGTGACCATGTCGCCAACCAGCTCGGCGATGCCGACACCCACTGGCATTGACCGCCCTGTGTCAACTATGACAGCCGACATGATCTGCGACCGCGATTACGAGGACATCGAGCTTGGTCGTTACACCACAGGCCACAACTCGCGAGCATCCAGCATGCGATCGACTCATCTCTTCGAAGGGCACGACTTGGAGGCACTCCCTCCACTACCCATGTCACCTGCATCGCCAACGTCGCCAGCAAGCGTTGCTCCTCTGGCATCGCACCCTCTCTCGCCCACAGAGAAGAGGCTACCCATAACTCCCCTGCCCGGTACGGCGATAAGCCAAGAATCCAGGAGGGAAAGAAGTCCCACTCCCATGCCACCACCGCCAACCGCGCGGGAGTCGCCATACCCCCCACGCGGTTCAAGTCAGAAAAAGCCAAGTTGGCAGTCGTGGTCTTGAAGCGTGCCGCGCATGCTAATGCTCAGACCGTTATGTCGACCTATACCCACGCACGATATGAAGCATCGCGTAGATCGCGCAAAAGTTTCCTCGTCTTTCCTTGTACTTGCAGCGTCGCTGTAATGTCGCTTTATGATACCATTTCCGCCCTCTGGCGCTACTATAGAAGCATTTTTCAAATGCATCAATATATTCATATCTTAAAAAAGCTTCGTGTACACTCCTGTCATCATTCTCGACTAACAATTAAGGTGTTGTGACGCTCGCTTCTACCCATGTTGGTGACCTTGCGGATGCGGCTTCGATCATGACGACTTACATCAGCGTGCTGCAACCTCGGCATGCGGCCGAATCATGCCATTCACATCGAATTTCATCGAACGTCAGAAAAACGAAGACGTCAAATGATGTACACCTCGAGACGAAATTGTCAAGTAGGTTCTAGACCCATCACATATTAGCCGAAAGAAGAAGGTGCATCCTCGCTACTTTTTGTTCGGAATTAATGACCCAGCCATTCCGATTCCGATGAGGCGGGCACCTGGAATTTCGCACACGGCCTGGGGAGCACTTTCAACCTCCAAGCCCTGTCGCACGTAATGACTCAATGGCGTTCCCCATAATGAAAAAGCGTTCTCCACCAAAGCCTGAATCTCTAAACCGGTCAAAAGTAATTGAATGGTTCATTCTACCCGCATGATGGCAACAAACCTTTCCCCACCAACGCTTTTCACACCGTCGGATCTCAAATCGAACCCAACCCTATCGAAATCCATCACCCAACTCGTCAACGACGCGTTCTATCGTTCGTATGAACGAGATACGGCGAAATGGGATAATTCGGAATCGCGCTTCAGCGATGAAGAGGGGCTTCATACGCTGCTGAGTGAGGCGGGCAGCGTTATCGCATTGATCTTTGACGATGCGGCGAGCGCGAACGAGAACGGTACCATCGATGGCGGAAACGGTAGCATCAGTGGCGAAGGCAGCAGCAGCGACGGCAAAGAGAGTAGAAAGGTCGTCGCATGCGCCTCCCTCGTACCCTGGAAAGGCGGCTGGGAAAAAGAATACGCCTCCACAGAAACAGGCTGGGAGATCAAAATCGTGTGTGTTGACGGAGATCCACAGTACCACCACCGCGGCCTTGCGATCCAGTTACTCGAGTTTTTACAGCAATATCTCATCGTGCGAGAAACCATTCAGCTCGAACAAAAGGGACTTCAGGGCCAACGCGTGTTGAGCCTTTGGATTTTGGCCGCGGAGTGTCTCAACGGCGCGTATTGGCGTAAGAGAGGGTATGAGGTGGTGAGGAAGAAGACGTGGGGACCGGGGACTTGGAGTTGTAAGACGAGTTTTGAGATGGTGGTTTTGAGGAGGGATGTTACGTTTGGGTTTGGTGGTGGGTTGGCGGGCAGCCGGTAGAAAAAGGGTGTATCGCTAAACGCGACAGTGAGCCTTCTTCCCAATCGGGCTTTGGGGGAGGAGAAGCCATGCGCATGTTGAATGTCAGTCCTGTTGTCGCGTAAAATTCCCGTAAGCCAGCCCTCCGCAGATCAGGCAGGTAGCATCGTCGTGTCTTGCTGTCTAAAGTCATGAGTTCGTTCGGTTGCTCCTTGAACACCAGCTCGATTTGGAGATCTGTCCAGTGTGCCCATGGGTGAAGCAAGACTTCATTCAGCTTTTCTTCTATACACTGCGTCCAAGGCTCGCTGTCGAAGACCATGAATTGCGCGAGGTCCTGGACGGTTGCAGCGACGCGCTCGTCAGTTAGAGTAGCCTCGCTGTTATGCTTCTCTTTCACAGCGTCCCAATCGACCCTCGGATCCAGTGTGAACAAGCAGATGAAATCGTTTCGCAGAAGGCGTAGTTCTAGTAGCGGAAGTAGGTTGAGCGACGAATGTGGCACTCGGGGCACTCGGGGCACGTGGATGATGCCTTGCAATACGCCCGCTCTGTAAGCAGCGATTTCAGAGTTGTTCCAGGGAGTGTCCCTGGATCTTGGCTTCGACATGGAAGGCTCATTGCAGATGGTTTCGTCGATATATACGGTGATTGACCTCGGCGCGCGCATGGACAGAGACTCGCCGTCACTGAACGTCCAACACACCGTGTGGCAGAAGTGCTCGACGTCCAGCCAGTCTAGACCGACTTCGAACGTGGCAAAGAGGTGCGAGAGGAACTCTTTGCGCAGCTTTTGACACACATGTGCGAGTGAGAAGATCGTAGCGGGAGGAGAGCCTGCGCCGAGGGAGAAAGAGTTCGCAGTGAAGCGGCGGACGCGGCCCTCGTATTCGGCAGTCAAGAACTCATAGGCGGAGTTGCGGAGTTCTGTAATGATGTTAGTATTATCGCGACAGATTTTGCGGTCTAGTGAACTCACCCGCAGGTAGGTCGAGAAAGCGGAAGGGCTCGGGAAGTGAGCGTCGCGTTCTCATGTTGATTAGTGACAACGTTGTAAAGATTGATCCAAGGTTCTTAGTAGGATTCGTAGTTATCTAGCAGATGGGATTGTGGGGTTAGAGAGAAGGAGAGTCGGCAAGTTGGGGGCAGTCATCAGCGTGGTGGTCCGTGGTGAGAGCAAACGACACTGAAAGTCTCTTCACGTGTGGCGTGTGCACGCCGACGAAGACAAAGATTGTTGAGTACGTGTTGCAGAGAATGACATGTAAAAGCAAAGAACCTCTCACTCGAGACTGCTCTGGGGTTCAGGAAACTAATATTCTTACATTACTACAAATCGCACCCTGATTGTCACCCTGTTCAGCTTCCACTTTGTCGAGGTGTGTGCGTGATTGACTGCATAAGAGTAAGGTGCGGAAGACTAAGCTTGTACACTTTGAGATGTTATGGAACAGAAGACCCCAACATCTGCGTAGAAGTAACTATGACGATGACCATCTTTGTCCTACTCGATACCAGACCGCCTCAGTAAGCTGCCATCTCCAAATCTCTCACACCTCAATCCTTAGGCCAGGAAACTCCGGAAACTCTCCCCAATATGGATCAACGCCAATTCTGTTGAAATAAGCTTCTTCCAATGTGTCTCCTTCAAATTCCTCATCCTCAGCGTCCAGGTGCTCGAGCAATTGCCGAGATTTAAGGTAGAACGCTGCCTGGGGCGAAGTGCTAACACCGATGTTGGAAACCATGATTCTGGTGATCTCACCGGTCTCGATATCGGATATCCACCGTGGGTGTCGATTACACATCATCTTCTCTACGGGTGTTGCGTCTTCTTCGATCCAGTCCGTGAATTTATATCCCTCTCGATGTTTCTCTTCATCCTCGTCGTAAAGCTGCAGGCTAGCCGTATCGTGGACGAGACGACAGGTGAAGTCTGGTCGACAGAGGCCAATTTTGACTAGCAATAGCATATCAAGCCCATAATGGTCTTCTCTCTCTGCATCTCCGCGCCAAGGAGTGACTATGGTCATGCTGGCTGGTGCAAGCTCAACGTTTTCGATCTTGCCATTGACGTTCGGAAAGAAAGTGCGCAGGTAACCGGTGACCGCCTTCCAGTCAATGATGATCTCTCGCTTCATGCAGACGGGCCAGTACTCAGTACGCAGCTGTTGACATGTCTGCGCAAGCGCAAGACATGGTAGTACGCAGCGTGATTGACCGGCTTCGGTCGCAGCGGCAAAGTCATAGACACGATTGCGCAACTCTAGTAAACATGTCAGCCCCGCGATCTTGGCCACAGAGGGTCGCGCCTACCTGCTGGTAGATCCAGGAAACGAAAGTGGTCTCCGCAGTCGCTCCTGCTGATACTGGTCTGGGCCATTTCTGAGTTGGAATTGGAGCTGTGCCGGGGGTGTCGGTTGTGAGAATGTAGTGGAGAGATGATGCAGTGGGTTGGATGCGAAGGTACAACGGTAGAGTGACCCTTGTTAGCGTTGCGCGAACTATGTAGTCGCCTAATGCGATCCACATTCACGTGTTTCCCGGTGATTAAGAGTGAAATACACCCAAATACATATTGTGAGAAGCAAGCTGCAAGCTACGTGATTCGTATGTTTTAGACATTATATATACAGGTGCCCAAAGACTGTACAGATCTTTACAATGTCAGACAGCAAGCTAGCGTAAGATATCGACGGCCAATCTGATCACTCGCTAACTTTATTCTTTCTCTGCACGTTCCGCCCGGCTCGAGTTGTTGAAATTGCGCACATCAATGCCTTCAAAAGCAATGCCATGATAAACCCCAAACAAATCTCCGAAACTTGTCATATTGTAGAGCTGTCTCATCTGATCCGTGAAAGCTTGCCCTTCCCGGTCCAAGGTCATATCGACGCCGTGGGGTGTGTGCCCCGGCTTGTACCACAAGTAGAACCTGCCATTGTGATGACAGCAGAATTCAGAAATTTTGGATGCTTGGATATCGTGTCTCAATGCAGGCGACGTATTTTCCAGGATCTCCGTTATGAGCTCACAGTTATACTGTGAATAGAATTGCTCTTCGGTATCTGCAGGACCGGGGATGACGGTGACCTCGGTTTCGGGGGACGTTATCTTAACTTCCAGGAGAGGTAGTATGTCCACATTCGTGGATGGCGGACAGCGGTAAATGACGCGCGAGGGGCGTTGCCCATCGAGTACCCGCTGGTTCGTATGGCCCGACGCAAAGAACGCGTTCGTGAACCTCTTGATGTCTTTGTCTCTGACTGTGAAGGAAATGTTTTGCATGTAGATCTTCCTGAACTCATCTCGAATTTGTCGGCAGACCTGTGTGAGACTGATGGTGGGTGGGTTGCCAGGCTTGAGCATGATGATGCGCGGCGGTGCCTCGGCAGCGTATTCATAGATGTGGTTCCGAAGTTCTGAGGTGTGAAGTTAGTGAGTCTAGCTCATTATATGAAGAAGAGCTCATAGTATACCTGCAGCGAGGTCTAAGAAGCGGAAGTGGTGTCCATTGGTCGACCCGGAGGTGATGGAAGCATCGTGGAGTTGCATGGCTGCAAGCGCGTCGCCAACAGCGCTGGTATAGGACGCGATAACCTGATCTATGAATTGCGCAAGGTGTTTCTATGAAGTGTTCGCGACATCCATCGACGTGGAGCGTGTAGGAGTCGGCGTGCGTACTGGCGTGCCTAAAGCTTTCATGTTCAATCAGGCAACCAATCCCGCGCTAACCCAAAACGTCCATTGCCCGGGGCCCCACCTGCCACGCGTGCACCTCAGACGAGACCTTGGAAAGTAGAGTCGAACATGTGCACCGTAGGCTACATTAATCTACAGATCAGAATCAACAAAGTCGAAGCAATGTCGACTTCCTGGCTAGGTTCTACTTCTTTCTTCCCGTGCAGAGAGGCCTCATTTCTCACCTCCACCACATACAAGAAAAAACCTGAACAGGTCTGCAGACTACATCAAACCAAAACCCTGCAAAGTAGGTGATCTAACGCCAATGTAGACTCCAAGGTGTTCAGTTTATTCCTAGATTGGCGTGCCTCCATCAAATTGGTGGAGGGCGTATCATACCATTATCTCGTCCCATAGGCCGTCAAGACCGGTAGTACCCGTCGTTGAGGCGAGCTGCTCGCTGAACTTAACATGAACATCCACGGCTTCTTCCGGAGATTGCATAGTGATGGCTACACTCTTCACCTCGTACTCCTGTACAGCAACGCGCCACTTCCGCTTCGCTTCCTTGACTAGTGCAGTGCCTTCAGTTCCGAGTTGTGCACAACCACCATACTGTACCAGCTTGGTGATGGAGACTCCGGCGGGAGCACGATCCTCGAAATGGATGATGCGCACTTCCAGTCTCTTGAAGGCCAAGCCCAATCGCACTAGATGGATGATCTCCGTTGGTCGATCGAGCGTGCAGTCGAAAGCCGTTTCGTACTGGACAATGAGCGCCTTAGGACCGGAGCCGTACTCTTCTTCCTTTGGATAGAAGCTCTCGAGGAATGCGTGGACAGAGTGCCAATCGATGACGAACTTGGCGCGTGCAAGCCACATTGGTCGGTACTCGGAACGTACCTAACACGTGGATATGCTAGATCAGTACATGTCTCGTATCCATCTCACATGATAAGTTACTTGGCGGGAGACTTGTGTCAGCGCGATGCCTGCGGCGCCGTGATCACGAGGTCCATGGACTGGTGTGAGTAGCTGAGAGGGTACCTCTGCGACAGCGTACTCGTAGATTTGATTGCGGAGCTCTGGATGGATGTCAGTCTTCCGCTTTGCGACATTTCGATATATACATACTAACCTGCTGAGAGACGCATAAAGTCGAAAATACCTGTTGGAGTATACGCGACCTTCTTCGCTCGCGGAAGGCGACTGCTGGACAGGACGTCGTCGTCTCGGCGTCGCTTCAGGCGAAGCATCGAGAGCTCGGGCGTGTAGCGATCCATGGTGATAGACGCTAAGCGGATGGTGTTGGAAGCTTTTGTTGTTGTTGTTTTGGATGCGAAATACGTACCGTAAACATTCAGGGTCTCGCGTTTGCTGTGACGTCACCTACCTAGGTAGTCTACAAAAGCGTTCGCATTCACCATTTACATTCACCGCTGGAAAAAACAAAAACTCTATCAGAGTCGTTTAAAAATGATTCTGATGCTCCTGACAGTCTCTGGCCGGATATTCGCTTAACCATGCACTTGCATGTCCGCTCGATTGGGGACAGCGCTTACTCTAGCCCCACAACTGCGCCTCGTGCCGGTGTGCTACACGAACTACGAAGAGTCATAGCTCTGGCCCAGCTTGCTGTGTATCATCTGTCGCCTGTAATCATTCCAAATGTCATCAAAAGATCACCCCATGAACCTCGCAATGCCAGACACCATCGACTCCGATCATTTGTCTCCAAAGAGTACTCACGGCCAACTGCTACACATGTTCAGGAAGATGAAGAAGCGACGACATGTACCAAAGACCTCTACTGAGACTACAAATGTAGGGAGCATCACCTCATCACTTCTACTACTCCCCGCTGGTTTGTCCCCCCAACAACACACACATCCCCGACCTAACACACCCCAGAACTCCGCAACCAAATCTACCACCACATACTCTCATCCCAACCCCGCCCCATCTCACTCTTCAAATCCCCCGTCCTCTACAGTTCCTGGAGCCACAGCACATCCGCCTGGTTCCGCATGATAAAACCCAGCCAAGTATGCCGGCAAATGCGCAAAGAATATCGCCCCTTGGCTCTCCGCCAACAAGAGCTTACTATCAGCATCAAACCCTGGCTCCGCTACGTCGATTTTGTATACGGGCCGTTGTGGTCTGTAGCACACGTGCCTAGACGTGTTGATCTTATTATCGAGGATCCGTTGGTAGAGCGACTTAGACTGGATGTACTTCCTTTGCTGCGGATTCGGCATTGTAGTCACCCCGCTGGAAAAGCGTCGATATCGTTCAGGCCGTGTCATAGCTATTTAAAGCAGCCGACGACGATGAAGGTGCAGCTGGATTCTATATTGGGCTTTGACGATGCACGTTGGGTGGCTTGTATTGGAAGCGGCGATGTCGCGGAAGTCGTGATTCATGCTGGAAGAGGAGGTCTTGACTATGGCGTTTCCATAGTGAGGGTTGTGGTTGTGTTCAAAAGTGGGAAGGCACCTGGTAGGCTTACGAGCGAAGTTATTGTTCCCGAGGTAATGGTTCGCGATGAGGGATTTGTTGATAAGTTTGCGGAAAGTATGGGTTGGACGAAGAGACAGGGACTGGATGTTCATGCTTCGATAGAAGGGCATTGTAAGAATGTGTGGCCACTTCGGCCGACGAAGTATTTGTCGAGATGGACATGAGATCGGCAGTGTAGAGGTATATTGCAAAGGGCTATCTATTTCGAAAGGTCGTGGCACTGAGTGCGTCTACTTCCATGTCGACGCACCCGACCTGATGACCACCCAGGACGATGTGAAATAGCCGCTTTCATGATGAAAGGCAAACTGCTGAATGATAATCCAGAGCACCTTGTTACGCATTTTGAAGACGTCACCAGGCTGCCTGGGCGCATGTCTCAGCTATCAACCAAAGCTAGCATGTGAGTATCATCCATCCCATTCCCCCTCTGAATACTACTCACGAATGCCAAATATAACTTTTGGTCTTATCGTCATCGTCGCTGAACCAAAACTTGTGCCGATACCCATATGAACGCTCCTGCGGGTTTGGGTCAGGCCATGAGAGCCTCAATTCACGTATGCCACGCGTGGGCTGAGCTGCTTCGTTCCACATCTCATGAACCGCAGTCTTCCACTTTTTAGCCATGTCTTGCTCCATGGTGATTCGGAGTGCAGAGTCGGAATATTGAACCCTCAGCCTCATCTCTTTGATCGACTTGGCCATGTCTCGCCACTCTGAGTCGGACGAATCAGCGAATAACGAGAGCATACTGTTGACCTGTGCGATGCTTTTTGCCGCCGAGGAATATCTTTTCAGATCCTTCTGAAGTTCGAAGGTAAAGCGAAGCTTTGGTGAGCGCGCGACAAGCGAGACAACGCGGGCGATGTCGGCATCGTAGAACTCGTCCACGCCCATATCCTCATCGCGGCTATGCCCAACTACGCTGATGATGTGTCCGCGGTAGCGCAGCATCGTGGCCTCGTCGCTAGGCGGATAGAAATCGCGGATGTATCGGGCGTAGTGGTAAGTGGATTCTAGGCGAAAAGTAGTTTCACTTATGTAGATGATATGGAACTCTTTTCGGATTTGTCGACACGTCTGTGTAAAGCAACGCCATCCTCCTACCGGTTTGATCGGGTCATCGTGACGTAGACGTAGTGGAACGGGGTCTGTATCGATGCAGAAGCTGTATATCTTATTGCGTAGTTCTGTAGGTACTGTATTAGCTAGGTTATGGGTAGTTGGAAGGACGTACACACCACCTGGAAGGTTCAGAAAGCGACTGTTTGATGCGCTCATGGTAACACCCCGCATCTGCGCTTCTACGGAGGCCATGAGCGGATACTCCTCGTCGATTTCTGAGTTACTGCTGTCAAGGTTAGTGACAGATGGCAGAGTGCGAGGGGCGACGTACAGGTGTAGGTGATCCATCTACGAGCTTGTGTTGTCCGTGAGAAGAGTCTGTGGTGAAGTGAGAATAGAGGGAAGCGCCTGACCAGGTGAACCATGGTACGGCTGCCAAGCAATAAGGTAGCGCGTGTTATCGGGTACCTGCATGTACTGTGGGGTCCACGGGTGCGGGGCTTCACCTTCACGTGAGATACGTAATCAACGAGCAAACGCGCTTGACGCTTTGGGAAGTTGGTAAGTTCTTCTAAGAAACCACGTCCCTTTGCGAGATTGGAACCTCGCAAGGAACACGGCACAAACTGCCAACCTATATGCGACCCGGAGAATATTGGACGCCAATACGAGGGCACTAGGCGTAAAACAATGTCTGCCTCAAGCCTGCGGTGCGGAGTGCTTATACACGCTCGTAGCATCCGTGAACAGTATAGCAAACGCATCCATGGGCGGCGCACCCATCTCAATCAAAGCCTGCCGTGAGTCCACCTCCCCAACCCGCTTCATGGCTTCTTCCATTATCTCCCTCGAATAGAAGGTGAAACATATCTCAGGAACGGTGCTGCAGGTAATCTCGATCCTTTGAAACACAAGCTCCAAATGCGGACGAAAAGCGCCGGACGAGATGTGGGCGAAGAAGTCGTCGACGGAGGACGCAAGATCAAGGCATGCGCTAGCATCTGTGAACGCGACCTTGACGGAGGGGTACTTTGCGCAAAGACGTGCGAGTAGTCTCGCGTCGTATCGGAGCCCGTAGTATGTGGTAATTCGAATATTGCCTTGCACGCCAGGAATGCCAGTCGACACGGGAAGCTCGTCGTTCGGGCGGCCCGGCTGTAGCGGTTCGTTTCCAATTCCATTTTGTTTCCTCAGTCCAGGATAGAAGGAATAGAAGAACTTTTGCGCGGTGACCTGGTGGATGACAAGAACCGTCTTGGCCATGTACATTGACCCGAATTCTGCGCGTGTCTGCCGGCACACGTTGCGAAAGCCGCCGTACAGTCCAAAGCGAACATGTTCGTAAGGCTTCTCTGGTCGTTTGGGCATTCGTGGCAGTTGTATAGCTTTTGGTTCGACGCAGTACTCGTAGATGCGGTTGCGAATTTCGCCAGGCAGCGACAGGAGCGGCGAAGTGGACATTGTGATGGCGTCGAAGCGATGGAGCAAATTTGGTATCGACTGCAAATGTAAGAGACGATTACTGCCTTCGGTTTGTATTTCATTTAGGTAGAGGGTGAAAAAGCAGAGAAGTAAAGTAGCAACAAACAGACAGAGAAGCGCTAGAGCCCATTCGGCTAGCACGACATCTAGCGCTGGATGCCTCATCTGGGCGCTCCAGGATGCAGCCATCCATACCAATCCTCCGGCTTGCAACAATTCGTCCGGACGTCCAGTATGCGGACATCGGCCAAGCCAGCATTCTCGAGAAATTCCATCGCTTCGAGGCCCGCTGAGTGAATGATGGTGCCGCGCTTGTAGCCCCAGGGAGGGTCTGCCGTAAGCCAGAGATCGAGAAATGGCGTCGAGACTACTGCTAAAGCGCCTCCATAGAATCTGAGGTCTCGCACACCCAGAGTTTTGAGGTAAAGGATCGCGGCATCCACATTATTATTTTCGGGTCGGACCGTTGCTAATGTCTTTGGCGCACTGAGAATACTGTTCAGATCCTGTACGAGCAACGACCCGTATACTTCTGATACAAGCTGGCTGCAGGGTTGACGAGGGCCGGTTGGAACGTGGGTGGTGTCAACCTCTGTGGAAAAGTCGAACTCGCATTTGCAAGATGGTTTCATGGAGCAGATTTGCAGCAGCGGGAGGATATCCAAATAGCAATCGTTTCGATCATTGACCCCGGGGCCAAGATCAAGGATTATATTGGCAGAAATCGGGCATACACGGGTCTTGACGCCTTTCTCCACTCGGCTGTATGCCTGGATGACCATTGCGAGGTATTCGTAGATGTATCGTGCGTCCACCCGGAGTTGAAGTTGTTCGCGGTACAAAGCCCCGAACTCGCTTCGAAGCGTCCTCGAGACCTGCGTGAGGCCTAAGAATTGATGGCGGGTGCGATCGATCCGTAGGCCAGTGTGGCTGTCTTGGGGACGTTTCATGTCCACGATGCCTTCGTTCTTGCAAAACAAGTAGACATTGTTCCGTAGCTCTGAAGCCAAATTAGCACTAACGGATAGAGCAATAAGGTGAATGTTGCTCACCGCCAGGGAGGTCCATAAAGCTGGTCCTTGGGCGAGAAGTAGTCAATGAAGCCATGTCGTTGTTGGCCGTCATGCTTGCTGAACACTGTAGTGGAGCTGCTTCGTGTTATGGCTATCGAGTTGACAATAAGGTGGTGGGGCTACTGGTTAATGTGATGAACCCGGCCTGCAGTTATACTCGTGGAAGGAGTAGCTGGCCATATGCAAAGGTCAGTGCTTCTGCAAATCGCCAGAGCGCTTTCTTCTCTCTCTAGAAACTAGTTAGATTCGACTGGGACTTCCCTCGACGACCTAATCCGTGATTCCGACTTGTGCACAGGCGGGCATTTTCGGGAAGGTGAAAGAACAGAAAGGTGACAGATAACGGAGTGATATTGGGCAGAGACCCAAAGGTGATATGCTAGGTAGCTGCTTCCAAGCCTTGCTACATGGCCTTGCCTTCAGGCGTACTGTTCCACGCATGTTCAAATTGTTGCCATCCGCCATGAGGTTCCTCGCACATCTTGAGATCGCTAATGACGAAGTCGTAATACCCTTCAGCAGGCAGCTTTCCCTGGTTCACAGTCCCGCCCATGGCGATGTTGATGAGAATTCTGAAGTCTTCCATACGTCGTGTGCCCTCTGGAATGCAGCCCTTCATGACTGGGTAGTTGTCGATGTACCAAATCATGCGCCCTCTCCATCCGGGTATGCCCTCTTCTTCGATCCAAGCGAAGCCGTAGGTGTGTGGTTGCCGTGCCAGGTCTGGAAGAGACGTCTTGACAACGCGATGCTTCTGTGCATCCTCGCCGGTGTAAGAACCCCAATGTAGACACGAGTGGTTCTCCGTCTCGCCGTTCCAGCTCTCGGCAAGGTCGACCTCGCCATCAGTCGGCCATTTGAACGGGTCTGCGGGCAGCATCCAGTATGCAGGCCATATGCCTGGTGCAGACGGAGGCAGACAGGTCGCTGTCAAGTATCCGCGCGGTCGCGATAGCGTCTGATGTGAGGTCAAACGCGCAGAGGTGTAGCTGCCATTCTGTACGAGGGCGCGCACGATCAGGCGGTTGTCGTGATGGAACGAGTTCTCGGGTTTATCCGTGTACATCTGCTTCTCGTTGTTGCCCCAGCCATGGTCGCCGATCTCGTGTCGGAAGTTCTGCGACACGGGAGTCTTGATGTCGAAGGACGGCTTCCAGTACACGCTCTGGCCCTGTGGTGGAGGGAGGTTCTGGGGCGGCGGAGGCTGCGCAGAGTTCGGTCGGTTCTGAGGAATAGGCGGGGGGCCGCCAGGCGCTGGAGATTGGGGCTTGCTACCCTGGGGAACGGGCGGTGCGAGGGGCTGCTGTTGCGGAGGCGGCGGGCCCCATTGCTGCTGAGGGGGTGCGCCCCATTGATTTTGCTGTTGATTCTGCTGCCCCCATTGCTGGTTTTGGGGAGGGAATTGCGGAGGATACTGGCTGCCAGAGTACTGCCCTGGATTTGGCGCAGAATAGCCTTGGGGTGGCTGCTGGTAGCCCTGAGGTGGCTGCTGATAGCCTGGAGCGGGTTGTTGGTAGCCCGGGGGAGGCTGCTGGCCCGGATAGCCCTGTTGGCCCGGATAGCCTTGGTTCGGGTGGCCTTGCTGGTGATGGCCCCCGGAAGGCTGCCCAGTGAACTCTGAGAGCTTCGCCTTGCCTTTTGCTAGCAGCTTGTCGAGTGTGCCTGACATTGTGTCGCGATGCCGTGATACGAAGGAAGTCACGGTGGGACGAAGGTTCCGCTTTGAGCCGAGCCGCCATGACGCAAGCAGGGCTGCACCTCCCCAAAAGCGCCGACGAACTTTCCAACAACAACACGGATATCAAATATGAACAGCCTTGTTGCAACAACTTCCTTCTACAAGGACAGGTAACCTTACCCCAAGAGATTATTAGGCACGTGTTCTAGACCATCGCGACTAGCCAAGGCATGGGTCTTCCTCGCAACGTACCAACCTCTCCGAGCTAAACCATGCCTTCATCATTTCTTCGATTCGCTGTTTCTCTCCTTCCTCCAATCACCGTCGCTCCTTCTCTGTCATTTTCTGATTCGTCATGCTTCCCTGTCGTCGCCTACAAACAGGCGTTCACCCACGTTACACCCGTGACGTCACATCTCACCACAACAACGGCTATTCACCCGAATAGCCAACCAGGCTGCCCATGGAAAGCGGGCAGGATGCAGGCCTACACATCCACGGCAGCAGCTATGTGAAACAGGAAGTGCTGCCTGTGTTAACGTAGGTCCCGCGTCATCCCCGTGTTTTGGCAACAACCAAACTGTCTTAACGGAAGTCGCGCCTTGTCGCACTGTCGCACTGTCGCACAAGACCAAACACTGCATATCCGGCAGATACAGCCTTCTCTCTTACACTCCACCACCACACTATTCCCATCAACTACTCCACCTCAGACCTGTGATACCACACCACTCGCCCGTCATTACTCACAAGCCCAACCGAACCAACATGTCTTCCATCGTCAACGCCCTCAGCGATCTCGTCTCGTCCATGGTCGAGCTCGTCTGGTCCTTCATTACCACTGCCGGCGCGCTAGTCCAGAAGACGGTCCAGTTCGCCCTCAACTTCGTGTTGGAGATGATCGACCTCGTGGTTAACTTCTTCCGTGGTCTCGTGGACCTTGCTGGCGGTATCGTTAGCTTCGTACTCGGTGAGTTGGCTGACGACGTTTGACTCGCGCACTCGATCGATTTGGGAACTAACAACACTATAGGCAACGTCCTTATGCTGGGCGTCGTCGCCGCCGCAGTCTTCGGCTTCCTCAAATACCAGCGCAGCCAGGGCAAACAGGTTAC